AAAAAAAAAAAATTTCTGTTGTAGGTGTTTTCTTGTTTTTTTTTTCAGTACCAGGGATTGAACTCAGGACCCTACACTTGCCAGCAGGCACTTAGGCCACTGAGGTGTCTCCTGGCTAAATTTCTTCAACTATAGAAAACCAGGCTGTAGTCTTCTTAACCCTCAGGCTTAAGTTTGCCAATCCTACTGCACACCAAAACTGTTCAATAGAACTGTCTCTGGTGATACTCTACATTTGCACAGTCCAATATTGCGGTCTCCAGCCACATGTGGCTCCTAAGCACATAAACCATGTTGGTGTGAGAAACTGAAAACATAAAAAACAAATTTTTTTCTTGAAGACGGGTTCTCACTATGGTCCAGGCTAGCCTTGAACTCATGAGGCCCCTGCCTCCTGCATGCTGTGATTGCAGGTATGTACCAACACTCCTGCCTTTTTTTGGTTGTTGTTTTTGGTGGTACCAGGGATAGAATTCGGGACCTTGTGCTTGCCAGGCAAGCACTTATTCCACTGAGCTATCTCCCCGGCCCCTGCCTTTTTGGAGACAAGGTCTTTGTAGACTAAGCTAACTTCAAACTCATGATCCTCTTCCTCCTCTTTCAGTTTCCCAAGTTCTGCGATAACAGGAATATTTCACCATATTTTGCTTGAGCATTTACCTATATTTTAATTTTTTTTTTTTAATTTAGTTTTTTTGTCTTTTTGAGACATGGTTTCCCTCTGCAGTTCAGGCTGGGTTGAACTCACTATGGCTTCAAACTTGAACAATTCTACTGCCTTGGTCTCCCAAGTGCTAAGATTACAGGCATGCACTACCACACCCAGCTTTTTAAATACATTTTTTTTTTTTTTTCTTTTCTGCATTTAGGACAGGGTCTACAGGGTCTCACTACAGACTGGATTCGTAGTGATTCTTGTTTTTAGCCTCCCAAGTGCTGGGATTACAGGTGCGCACCACCCCGCCCAGTCTCAACTGCCATCTCAGCAAGCCCCATAGGTAGGGCTGGCACGGCATGCTGGGGATCAAACCCCAGCCACTGCGCTCTGCTTAAGCAGGAGCTTTAGTCTGCTGAGCTATCAGGCCAGCCCTTCAATGTTTTGTGTGTGTGTGTGTGGAACCGGGAGTTGAACTCAGGCCCTTGCACTTGCCAGGCAAGTGCTTATTTAACTGAGCTATCTCCCTGGCCCCTCAATATGTTTTTAACCAACTAAAGCCTAAGTAAAAAACAGCTGCATATGGCTAGCAGCTACTGTATACAACAGTGGCGCTCTAACCCCCCAATCTATCTGCCCAGACTTTTAGAAAGCATTTCAGAGCCAAGGAATGGCTCAAACCACCTTACCTGGCATAACCAATGATTAGGCTTCCAAACACAGTCCCGATCCCAGCCCCAGAGCCAGCCACCCCAACTGTGGCAGCCCCAGCGCCAATGAACTTGGCTGCTGTGTCGATGTCCCTTGAAATGATGCTGGTTTGGAAGCTGCGGCTAGGGACAAGTGATGTCAGGGAACGAGGGACTGCAAAGCTGCTGTGGCTCTGTGAAGAGGAAGCAGGTAGAAGGTAAAGAGTTTTTAGAAACCTGCTTTTTGCTGCAGAAACACAACAATTAAATTCTCTACTCTGCCAAATCTCCCACAAACAGAAAATCATGTAACTTCCAGGAAAACTTTCTGTAAGGCAAATGGAACCTTTTAATGAAAGAAGTGGACTTCAAATGCCTTTAAGATTCAGATGCAGTCTACAATTGTTAAAAACCAAGGCTCCTAGACTGTTCTTGGTGCCTAGTGATAGGTTATGGCCCTAGTAGGAATTACTGAATTATTATGGTGGTCATCCAATATGGCTGAAGCCCTTAAAACAACAGCTTATCTTCCCAGAGACCACCCCCCCCTTTTCCAACTCAGCCAGGGTACGATTTCCTTTCACCTTTCCCGCCACCACCTCAGGGAAGGCCCCAATCAGCTCCTTGGGTATATCTAAACATCCCCCTCAAACCTATCATCTGGAACCTAAAAGCAGCAGACTAGTCCAAGTAATGGCACTAGGAGCAGAACATATGGGCATGTACTGCCAACTGCAAAAGCTACAGCACTAAGATATACATAGTACTAACTATCCTCCTGGTCCACCCCACATCTATGGCCTTGATCTTTCAGAATTTCAGGGGCCCAGCCCATTAGCTCAGGTGTTTAAGTGCCTGCTAAAACAAAGCAGTCAGGCTCAGGATGCTGTGGTTTGATCCCCTCATCCTCAAACCAAAACAGACCTGCCCTGAAGGCAACCTGAGCAGCCCCCAAAAAAGGACTTTCAGTCACTGATGATTGCCCTCAAGAGTCCCCCTAACTCTGGCAGGTTCCCCTTCCTACCTCTCCCCCAACCACAGTCAAACTCCACTTATTAAGGTACCTCTTCTGTTGTCGTCTTTGGTCTGTTCAGCACTACTGCAGACAGTGGTCGGCTCAGCAGCTGGGAGGTGCTCCTGACCTAGCAGGAGAGACACAGGGGCAGGAAGGTGAAAGAAGACTATTGACAAGACTTTCAGAACCATGCCAGCTTGGATGTTTTCCTCTAGAAAATTGTATTGATTATTTTTGGTGGTATTGGACATTGAACCTAGGGCCTTACCATAGTGAGGTATGTTCCCAGCCCTTTTTATTTTGAGAGAGGGACTCGCTAAATTGCTAGGGCTGTGCTCAAGATGCAATGTTCCTCCTGCTTCAGCCTCCCAGAGCGCTGGAGTTATAGACATGCATCATGCTTGGCTTTTTTTTTTTTTTTTAAAAGAGACCAAATCTTACTCTGCTGTCCAGGCTGGCCAGGAACTCCTGGGCTCAAGTAACCCTTCCGCCTCAGGCTCTCCAGTTGCTGGGACTTTTGCCAGCATACCCACCTGTAGCAAATTCTAATTATGAACCACACCATTTCTCTTGCTTCTCAGGTTTTAAAGTAAGAAAGTCTAACTTGTTTTGGGTCACAGGAATTATTTACCCTTGTACCTTCTTTTGTCTTTGGTACCAGGGACTGAACTCAGGACTTTACATTTGCCAGACAGGCACTATGCCACTGAGCTATATCCCCAGCCCTATACCTTTATTTATAAATATGTGTGTGTGTGTGTGTATGTGTGTGTGTGTGTGTGTGTGTATATATATGTATGTATGTATTTATTTTATATTCATATATATTTAATTTATTTTTTTTTATTTTTATTTTTTTAGACAAGCTCTCACTGTGTAGGGTTTTTTTTTCTACCACTGTGTAGTTTTAGGCTGATCTGAATTCACTAGTAGCCCAGGTTGGCCATGAGCTCAGTGATCCTTCTGCTCAGCCTCCTAATATGCTGGAACTATAGGTGTGCCTTTTTATAATCCTTTAGAATAAAATCTAAGTCTTAGAAGGATCTGCTTCACTCAACAAGGGAGACAGATAGTGGTAATGGCCAGTCCACGAGGAAACCACAGAAATGAGGCATCTTTCCCTATACACATCCTTCTGGCAAAGATCCTTGTCTAAAATTTACCTCCTCCTGGTGACCTTTTCTGACTACTTTCAAGCCTGTGTTCCTAAAACAGAAAGACATGGCAATAGCCAAGACTTCTGGGTTAAATTTAGATTCAGATTTTAAATTCTTTTAGCATCTGCAGTCTCAGAATGTCACATTTTTCTTTTTCTTTTTTGGAGACAGGGTCTTACTGTGAAGGTCAGGCTGGCTTTCAACTTACTATGTAGTCGAGGTTGGCCTCGAACTCAGTGATCCACCTGCCTCAGCATACTGAGTGCTGGGAATGAAGTGACATTTTTCCAAACATGTTTTCTTACCTATCAAATTGGAACCATATCTCTCAGGGTTGATCTAGCAAATGAGATGGAGTATACAAATTGGTAAACTCAATGCAAAGCATGTGGGAAGTGCTCGGTAACTGCTGCCAACTAATAGCAAATTATGGATGAGCCAACTGCCTCCATCATGTAAGTTTTTTAAAGATCTGGCGATGCATCTAATTTTTTTTTCTTTGAGACATGGCCTTGCTACGCAGTTCAGGCTGGCCTTGGGCTCACTTTGTAGCCCATGCCTGTCTCAAACATTAAGCTCAGGAGTGCTGGGACTACAGGTGTGCGCCACCATGCCCGGCCATCTCATTAATATTTTTAACTTCTACGCTATTGCTTCTTTTCCTATTTCCTCTACATTTAAATTCCCAGAAAGCACTCCTTTGGTTCACTCTAGACAAAATCCTATATACAACACATACTCAGACTAAGCTTAGGCCTGTTGTTTCTGGCTAGGTTCCAATTTATAGCAACATATAGTTTCAGGAATAAAGCAATCTTTTGATGACTGTGTAAGAATTAACTGGCCTCCAAAGGCTATGGGGCAGGGGAGTGCTTGGCAAGCATTTACTTTCCTGTCAGGCTCCCACTGCAAAACATTTCCATTCTCAAGAATCTCATTCACCTTCCCCCAAACCAGCTGTGAAAACTGAGGTCTGACGGCAAGGAAGAAACAAGGTGCTTCTGCTGTAAACCTCCCAGAAAAAGCAAATACTCACCAACGATGGGGTGGAGACAAATCTGGAGCACGTGTACATTTTCAGGGGGTGAAGGACTGTGGCAGGAGAGCTGGAATTACAGAAGTAGCATTGTAAACACTTTCCTTGCTCATTAAACTACATGCTTCCTAGCAGAAAAGGTGCTCCTTTCAGAAAGTTTAAGTGGCCAGGATGGTAGAGTGACTGACCTGAAGTCATCAGGAAAGATGGAATTAGAACCTTGAAATCATGATTTCCTCCAGAAAGTCCAGTTCCCAAGATTTCCCTACAATAAAGTGATGTTCTTCTGGTCCTAAAAGAAGTCACTTGGTTCCCACTTTAAGACCTATTATCTATTTCCACTGTCATGACTTGGGGTTGTTAGAAAAATGTGCTCAGTGTCCTTTGCCAAAGTTTTTCTCTTTGTTCAAAGTTTTTCTCTTTGAACTCTCAGCTGGGTATAATGGTGAGATCCTCCAATCCCAGCACCCAAAAGGCTAAGGCAGGAGGATCAATGCAGTTCGAGACCATCCTGAGCTACAAAGTGAGCTCAGGGCCAGCCTGAGACACATAGCAAGACCCTGTCTCAAAAAGACCAAAAAAAAAAAAAAGGAACTATGGAGTTACCTGAAAGCATCTGACAACACTTCAATTTTCTATGGCAATTAACAGGATTGGGAATGACTGCTAAAATTACTCATCACCACACTAATTTTTTTTCTTGTTTTCTTGAGACAAGACCTCACTATGTAGCATTTTATTTTATTTTATTTTAGAGAAGGGTCTACAGGGTGTTCAGGGTCTCACTACTAGATCAGACTCATAGTGATACACCTGTTTACAACCTCCCAAGAGCTAAGATTACAGGTGTGTGCCACCACGTCCAGTCTCAACTGCCATCTCAGCACCAGGCCCCTGCTTGCAGGAGCTTTAATCCACTGAGCGGTTTGTCCAGCCTTCTCACTATATAGTTCAGCTTGTCTCAAACTGAAGTTGATCCTCAAGTGCTGGGATTACAGGTGTATGCATGCCTGCCTAAAGTATTAAATTTAAATAAATAAATAAATTTTTAAACAGCATTAAATTTTGTATGCCAAAGATTGAATAAATCTTTATACCACTAGGTACCTACATTGGTACAGCTGAATTTACCTGAGAACAGAGAGAGCAAGCTAAAGATCTAAAAGCAGGATTTGTCCCAGTGAAAAGCCCAAATAATTCAGAATTACCTGGAAATAGAAGTGGTACATTAAAATGAATATTCTTGGTTGCAGTTTAGATGTTCCTAGTCAAGATCCTTACGGATGAACTCAAGTGTTTCTGTATTTCAAACAAGTTTTCCAAATGATCTGTCCTTATAGTTGCGGTACACATATCTGTGAGAGTACAGTCAATACAAATATTGAAACTAGGGGGCCCGGGAGAAGGCTCAGTGGAGTAAGCACTTCCCTAGCAAGGGCTTGAGTTCAATCCCCAGTTCCTCCAAAAAAAAAAAAAAAGAAAGAAAAGAAAAAGAAACGATGACAGATTGGGCATGGTGGCTGTGCTTGTAATCCCAGCTCTTGGGAAGCTGAACACAGGCGGATCACTAAAAGTCCGATCTACGTAGTGAGAACCTATACTAAATACAAAACGACTAAAAATTAAAAAAAAAAGAAACTATGACAGTTTCACAGCTGAGACTAGAATTCAGACTTTACTCCTCAATTCTAATATGCCACAGAATAGAATACTCATTGTAGGCATGTTCAGGGTCACTTCTTTAAAAGAACTGGGACTGGAGAGATAGCTCAGTGGACTAAACACCTGCTTAGACAAACTCAGGGATGGGGGTTCAATCTCTGCCGTGCCAGGCCCTGCCCATGGGTGTGCTGAGTTGGCCAATAAGACCCAGTGTGGTGGCACATGCCTGTAATCCCAGTGCTGGGGAAGCTGAAAACAAGAGGATCACTGCGAGTCCAAGCTGCATATTGAGACCCTGTACCAAATTAAAACAAACAAACCAAAAACCACTGGACTGCACTATCCCAGGGACAGTTCTGGATCCAAAACGTTCATTAATTTCTGATTAATGGATCCCTTCAAGTCTTGTGATACGCAGAACTCCCAATTTCTGTGTATATGTAGGTCTAACCAGATTCAGATTCTGCTGCCCAAAGTAGCCTAGATTTATCTCAAAAAGTCAATAAAACAAACAACACATACAACTTCAAAGCTTTCTTAACATTATTTATAAAAGGTTCTTGTATTAATTTTAATCTTTTATTTACTTGGTACAGGGTCTCGCTATGCAGCTCGGATTCGTAGTGATTCTCCTGTTTTAGCCTCCCCATTGATGTGATCACAGGCATGAGCCACCACACTCGGTTTCAGTGGCCAGTTCAGAGCGCCCTGGGCGAGCTGACACTGCACGAGGTACTGGGAATTGAACCTGGGCCTTTTGAGTTTGCCAGGCAGGCCCTTAGACTGCACAGCCATCTCCCCAACCCTCATGCATTGATTTTAAATTGAAAATTTATAACATATGTAAAATATACTGTGGTGATGACATACAGTAAACATCACGGGTGACAAAACAGCCTGCACTCCCAGCAGCTGCCTCTATCAGTCTTCTAACTCTGGCAAGTCTGCAATGTTTAGCTCACCCCTGGCTAGAGGTACCATCTGGAACCGGAGCTCTGAAAACATCACTGGCATCTTTTTGGGTGTAGATGAATCAGAGTTACACAAAGCTAAGTTAACCATTCTCTTCCTTAAGCCTTCTATTCCTCTTGGTTATTAGGTTCTGTGTAGCTTAATATTTGACAGGAAAGCTGACAGGTGGACACCCATGCAGGCCTCACTACCTGGCCTTCTGAGCCTGCTACCTGAAACAGGCACCCTCATTTCTAGCCCACCACCTGCGACCTTCGAACTTCAACAGAGTGCCAGGGCAGTAAGAGAAAGGTACTGGGAAACAATAATGTTCCAAAGAAATGGCCAGCCGTCCTAAGCCACAGCCTAAAGGGAAGGCGTTTACTGTTAGTGCCTACTGCGTTCACAGTTTACTTTTTAAATTGAAGGTTCTTGGCTGGAGGGACAGGTGGCTTTAGAGGATGCACCATCACCAACGCTGGGGCGCCTGCGGTCCTGAGGATGGAAGTCTGACGTTTCAGGCACAAGTCAGAATGCAAGGAGAAAAGTAGATAGGAGGGGAGACTCGGGGGGTCGTGACAACTCTGGGAGGATAGGAGGGTGAGGAGGATAGGCCAAGGGAGCCTAACTGTACAGGCTGCGTCGGGGCAGGTGAAAATCAGTACTCGGGACCCGACTTTGGCCAGCTCCGATGCACCCTACCCCACACCAGGCACCCAAGATGGCGCCAGGCCCGCGCGGTTGGAGGTCACCGGAGCGCGGGAAGAGGCAGCTCTCAGATGCGGGAACCCGGGTGGATGCGAGGACTCGGGTGGGAGCACACAAGAAGGGCTTCAGAAGAGCCATGCGAGTGAACATGCCCCGCGCGCTTGCGCGGCGCAGACCCGGCTCGAGGCCCCCAGGCCTTACCTGCTCCCAGGGCAGAGACGACGAGGAGGGGTGGGGGGGCTGCAACACCGAGTGGAGGGCTCGGCGCATGCGTGGCGCCTGCCAACGAGTCGCGCAGCCAGCCACGGATAGAGCGAATGCAACGTGGAGGGTAGCTCCAGCGCCACAGCGCCGCCTGCCAACTCTGTGGCGGCACCCGGCCAGACGCTCCACCTGGCGTTTGAGAAGAGGAGCTACAGGCGGAGGCGGCCGTTTGCCGAAACGAGGCCAATAATGCAGTAAGCCGATCCGTAACGCGGCCTGCGGTTTCGTCTGCGCCGCGTTTGGCATCTGGGACTCGCATACCCTGGCCAGGCATGCGCGGTCACACGGGGTGGGAAAGTCTACCCAGAAATCCAGTGTTAAATAGCCTGCAATAGGGGTCTGGGGTTCAGTGCCTAAAATGTAGCAGGAGGAAAAGGAAGACATGGGCTTCCTGCCTTCTGTCGCCTCGGGCCTTTGATATCTTTGCATGGAAAACCGGCTCCATGAGCGAATAGCAGAATGCCACAGCTGCTTCTGCTGGCTATGCCTTCCCTTTTCCTTTTCCCTCTGCTCTTGATCAACCATGAGAAAACCAGCCCCAAGCGAGTAAGAAGATAGGGGCTACCGTTCAAAGCTCTCTTTCCTTGGTCCTGGGGCCGAGCAAAAAGAACGGGCACCTGCGATTTGCAGGAAGGGTGCGAGCTCACCCCGGGCACGTCCGAGCAGCTGCTGCCCCCGCTACCCGGGCCGGGTGGGAGGAGCAGCGCGCGCTCTTACCCCGCCGGGCGCGCGAGGGCCGCCCCCGACCTCGTCCCTTCTGGGGCTCTTTGTCGCCCAGCCAGGACCTGACCAGAGAGGGCTGGCAAAAGGCCTACCCAACTCCGAACCTCAGCCATTGGGGCATCGTGCTTGAACGCAGCATGAGAAGGACGGGAAAAGCTCACCAAACCCCCATAAAAAATAAAAAATAAAAAGAAGCCGCGGCTGTAAATAAAGCCAAATCCGCCACCCTCTGAGGGGCCGTTTGTCCTCCCCTCCTTGGCCCCGTCCTTCCCGCCGCCCCCTCCCGGCTCCTCGGCCCCGCGGCGCCCCGGCCCCGAGCTCCTCCATTTAATCGGATTTGGGAGAAGGGGAGGATAAATCACGGCAGCAGCTTTACGGTCCCGGAGGAGAGGCGAGCCGCAGCCAGGCACACCCCGGCCGGCGATAAAAACCGCCGCTGAAAGCCCACGGAGCAATTTCCCGGGACCCCGAGCGACGCCATTACAGGAATGTAATTTTGCCCGGATGAGGCCCCGAGTTTAATTATCCTCGCGGAGGAATTTCAATGCAGCCAATCCATCTTGCAGGCGGGCGGCAGAGGGATTTATATGGGCCCGTTATTTCACACCGATCCTCCATCTGCATTTTTATGGCCCTGAGCTCCTGTAAGGGAGGGGAGGGAGTGGGGAGAAACGGGAGAAGCGGAGAGGAGGGTGGGGGCTTCCCTCCTTCCCCAAATCCACGATTTCAGCTCGATTAGGATCCTCATAGGTTCCCTGAAATTCCCAAATCTCTCTCCAGTTCCGCTTGTTGACTGGGGCAGGGGCAGAACTGAGATCTTTGGAAACCAATCAACAGGTATTTACAAAATCCTAAGCAGTGGCAGGCACCATGTCAGATGCTGCAGGCTAGCGAGGACTTAGGAGGTCCTCAGACACCCCAACCCCCCCCCCAAAACGGAATTCCTTTTTGCTCTCAGCCACACATCCTATGAGGCAGAAAGCCCACAGTTCTGAGGAGCCGCCACCGCCAAATGATTGTTGCAGCTGTTGCTTTCCATGATTTGGACGATCTCAGATTCCGCTAACGATCCCAGAGGAGGCTCAGAGGCCCACGAGGAAGCTAAAGCTGGCTACTTCCAAGAGTTGTTGCAGCCTGCAGTGTTTGATACCCACCCTCCCCCGAGTCAGCACTGGGCTCTGGATTCAAACTTGGGTTCCAAAATCTATGACCTTCAGCAGTTTATTTAACCCTTCTAAATAAATTTCCTCCTTTGTAAATTGGGAATAAAACAGTTTTTACTTTATAGCCATTATTTGGATGATAATATAAATGAAGCTTCTAGCAAGGTGCTTGGTATCCAGTAAAAGTCCAATAATTGCCACGGCCGCTGTCACCATCATCACTATTATTATAGTTAAGAACATTGCATTTCAATTCTGCACTGCTCCCTAGAGACTGTTCATGGCGAGATTCTTGGTTGGTAACCCTGAGAATCAACTATAACTTGAGAACTTTCTCACTCACATAAATCATGCAAAACAAGCTATTTGGCATGTTGGTGGGTGGAGATCTGTGGTGTGGCTGAGAACCCTGAGGCTATCGTAAGGTTTAAAACAAAAGTACATTGGCAGCAGAGCAGTGAGATTATATGAAGTAAATAGAGGTTTGTGAGGGAAGGGAGAGTTTGAAGATAAAAAGATGATCCAAAATTAGCTGAGGGTCTAGGAATCATTTTAACTACCGGCTTGGGGAAGGGTCATTTCCACGCTTCACTAAGGGAAACTGGGTCCAGGAAGGAAAGGGTGTGGAGTCAGAACTAGCTTCACCAATCAGTTTCTTTCTTTTCCTACCAGGCCATGTAACAAGGTTGGCCTGATTGGCCAGTTTTTCTAATGACTGCCAGTGGCGGATTCTGACTGGTTAGCAGCTTCCCTGCATAGTAGTGACGAAGAGATGAGATTGATCTTTTCTTTCCTTGGATTGGTTAACAACCCTCAGGGGGGCAAGAGACTCATTTTAATTGACTGGATGGGTTAGGAGGGAGGTTCAGCATCTCTCACATGGAAATTTCGAGTGTTCTTTACCTCAAAGGTCACCATGAAAGAGTGTTGATAGTATGTGTTTGCCTTTGGACAGGAAACAGTTTTGAGAAGAAAAAGAATTATGCAGGCATAATACAGTTCAGTTTGAAACCCCAGAGAGAAGGTTTCACAGGTAGAAACCAAAAAGGTGTTTCAGAGAGATAGTGACTAGGACAAGAGAAACACAAGGAAAGAGAAAAAAAGTATTGGGAGGAGGGAAGAGGAGGGATGGGGAAAGGGAAGATGTTGATCCAAGGACACATAGTTAAACTGGAAGAATAAGTTTTAGTGATCTATTACACTGCATGTTGACCACAGTTAATGTATTGGATACTTCAAGATTGCCAAAATAGATTTCTACTGTTCTTACTACACACAACAAAATAAATTAGTGAGGTGATGGATATGTTAATTACCGCATTGAATCTTTCCATAATGTATACATAGATCAAAACATCACACTGTGCCCCATCCATGTACACAATTATTTATCAACTTAAAAAAATATTGTCAAAGATGAGAAAGGATTTGAGTAATTTGTTTTTTTTATTCCTGATGGCTTAGAATGAAGTTACTTTACAATGTGTCTTGCTAGATGTACATATGGCCCTATTTCTGTACTGCTCCCTATTTATGTTTTGGTTTTTTGTTTTTTTTTTTGTATTGGAGATGGAACCCAAGACCTGGAACCCAGGACTTGGGGTGAACTAAGGTGATCTACCACTAAGCTACACCTCCAATTCCTATTTGTGATTGTTAATTTCTTTGTTTTTTTCTTTTTGAGAATATCTCACTATGTAACCTAAACTGGCCTCAGATTTACAATCCTTCCTCCACATCCCGGACTGTTGGGATTATAGGTGAAAGTACCCCTGAACCTGCTTTCATTCCTTCAAACTCCCAGGTTGGTGGGCATTGACTCATGACTTTTCTACTGTCCCTTGCTGTCTTGATTTCTTTTCTCATTGCTGAGACAGAATACCCAATGCCCAGAGTTGAAGAAGGAAAAGTTTATTTCAAGTTTTTAGAGGTTTCAATCCATCATCAGCAGGCAGGCAGAGGGGCATGGCATGTAGAAACAGTTCATGGGAGGCAGAGGAAACAAAAGCAGCAAGCCACCAGCAATGACAATAGCAGCCCTCTTTCTGTCTCATGTATCTTATTCAGGCACCAATCCTAGCACTCACACCCTTACTCCTAGCACACCATGCCTAGCAAGTGTTTTTACATTTGTATAAGGGATTGGTACATGTTTACCTACATATTTACCTAGATGCCACAGTTAAGTCCTATCAACAGATTTGGTCCTTGTCCTTGAAAGATTCTTCCCAAACCAAGGAAAACATACAGACAAAATAGAAGTCCAAGTAGTGTGTTGTAAAGAGCTAGGGACAGCAGATTAGGTATCCAAAGTCTATCTGATTTGAGGGTATTATTAATTATGTGATTTTGAGAAAAACAATTTTTTGCCTTCAGTTTTCTCATTTGCAAAATGAGAAAATACTAGATGATATTGTTTGATTGATAGGTTGATTATACTTGGGAATAAACCCAGGGCCTTTGCACTAAACTATGTCCCCAGTCCTCCTTGCTATTTTGAGACAAGGTCTTCTTAAGTCCTTAAGTTGCTGCATCTGGGCTTGAAATTTTGCTCTTCCTGCCTCAGTTTCCCAGAGTGTTAGGTGGGTGCCATCACATCTGGTTATTCAATTCCTTTTCATCTTTAAATATATGTTAAATAAGGGGGCATGGTACATACACCTTTGATCCCAGCACGAGGGAAGCTGAGGCAGGATTGCTGTTTGACATGTATGTGTATAACTGTGATACATAGCAGGATTTAAAAGGCTATCTATAATAAGAATTGCATCTAGAATAATTAAGGGACATCATGATTAAAGTTAGCTTTTAAAAAAAGTAGGCTTCTTTCTTTCTTTCTTTCTTTCTTTCTTTCTTTCTTTCTTTCTTTTGAGACAAAGACTCTCTATGTAGTTCAGGCTGACCTTGAACTCACATTGTAGCCCAAGCTGGCCTGGTATTTGCAGCAATCCTGCTGCAACCTCCCAATTTTTCCTTCTTTGACATATATCAACTGGATGTGGTGGCATGCTCTTATAATTCCAGCATTTGAGAGGCTGAGGCAGGGGGACCTAGAGTTTGAGGCTAGCCTGTACTGTACCATCAGAACTTATTTAAAAAAGAAAGATTAGATTTATACAAAGAACACAAGTAATATGCATTCATTTATCTAACAAATA